AATTTGGCCTTTGGTATTCCAGCAATATGTGTTTGAATAAATCTGCCTTTTTTTATCTTCCCTGTACTTCCTATCTGATATATATTTGAACCCTTCTCTTTTTTTTTCCTGTGTGATTTCTTGCTGTTAGAAACTATAGAAATAAAAATTTTGTCAGTTTGATGTAGAAATGGAAAGACAAAAATAAGGTGCTACTTTGAGTAGTGGGTTATTACTTTCAGCATTTCAGCATTTAGAGGATTTTACTTCAAGGCATGTCTCCAATGGAAATGTTAGATTTCTTTTAACAAATTGCATAAATGGTTGACCACATTAATGATACAAGTTAGCAATCAGTAAAGCAACTTTTTAAAAAGCTTCTTGTCTATTTGAAGATATTTTCATGTTTGCTATGAAAGCTAATTATCTAGACAGTGATTGGAAGGAAATATTATAATCTTAATGGTTTTCTGAAAAAAAAATCTATTAGAGATATTCCGTTTTTGATTATTTGTAATTTAGGGAACCTTTCTACAGGTACTTTACAAATACATAATTCTGGGAAACCATAATGCTGTCAAAGATCAATGTTAGGATTATTCCATTAATGAAGATAAATATCAGACTCTAAAAAATACAATTTATTCTTCACTGCTTTTGTCAAATTTTTAAGAGAACATGAAGAAATGCTGACAAGCATTTCGATACAATGTAATGATATATATCCATTTTCCCTGATGGGATTATATGAAAATCTGCCATGCATAAGAAATGGCTTTGTTTTAGCTCTATTATTAAAAATGCTCTTATTTAAATTTCTTTTAACCATTGGAAGTGAACTTGCTTGATCCACTAAATCTTCTCTTCATTTCCTTTCTTCACCTAAAGCTGATGACCAAGTTTTGTAGTGTTTAGGTTTTTTCATCTTTATATTAAACATTTTAAAAGAATATGAACAATTAATAAAAGACATATGAAAAGAATATAAAGATATTTAATAAACTATCTGAAATATCATGAATACTATTTTTAAATATATTAGTTGCCCATAAAGCTATGAAATATATCATTTTTAAAGGAAAAACTAAAATTGCTATTATTGGTTAACAAAATAAAACACTCTTTGGAAAAATAGGATATAATTAGATCAACATTAGAGATCAAATTTCTCAGAAAATTGAAATGTAGACTCCAGTGTAGAAAAAAATGAGGTGTAGTACAGATCTATGAAAAATGGTTTCCAGTTAGAAATTGAATTCTGCATCAAGATTTACTCTTTAAAAATGAAATTACTTTGGACATCAAGGTATATTCCTATAACTTGACAGCCATTCTTCCAAGGAAAGACTCAAACATCCTTTTCAATAAAAAACATATACTTTTTCTGCAGGTAACATATATACAACTAGTTCTGTATCTTTAGATGGAATATGCAACTTGGTAAAATTCAATAAAAATATTGCAGGTTACAAAAGGGATTAAACTTTAAACATATGTTTCATTCTAATATAAATTATTTTCCAAAAAGGTTGATCATATAAGAAAAATGATCAAACTCATTACATTTCAAAAACATTTCAGAAAATATATACGAGTTGCAAAGCATCCAAATTTTGATCACGTGACACGGGATGCTGCAATAGCTATATGAAAAAGCCATAAGCCACTTTTTTCAGTGCTGTTGTAACTTCAAACTGCCACTAAGCAAGTTGAATACCTGTATTCCCTCTTGTTCCTGAAGTTATTTTTGTGTTATTTATCTGAAAGGACTAATCAGGTAAACTACATCCTTGTAAGAATCTGAAAAGATTTTAAGTCTTGCAACCTGAGCAAATTGTTACTTTTCCAATGGACAAATATTTTGGCTTCCTTTGTATTAAAAAAACGAAGCAAAGAGGGAAAAACCTGGACTTTTTCTCTGTATTTATCCCAAATATTAAATGCCTCTACTTATTATTGTAGGGTCTCTTTTAAATTGGATAGTGAGATGGGCAGCCTAGAAATTTAATAAATAGTTTAGTTATATTTGTATCAATTCATACACATATGGAAGCCATCTGGAAATGCAGTGAAGCAGTGAAGCATTAGAACACCTAATACTGATAACATCCAATTCCAATGGAGTTTAATTAATTAGTCATTTAGTGAGAATTGCTCTGTAATTGGTTTATTTAGTTGCAAATGAACTTTCTGCTTATAATTCTTCAATTCTTTCTTCACTTACTGTATCTGCAACTTCTTTCCATACCTGTTGTGAATATGAGACTGCACAAAAGGAATAAAAATGTAGCTGGTATGATATTGTCAAGAAAAATGTGAAGCTTTAATTGCAATTCTAACATTTTACTAAGCAGTCAGGATTACTTTCTGCTTGCTTCTGTTGAATTCTTCCACATAATTCATTAATAAATTAAAATGACTGTTTATAGTAATTTCAACACTCCCAAAACAAAAACAAAGATGGAGTTTTATGTTCTTTATAACTAATATATTCACACTTGAAAACTTAAATTTGTTTCCATTTTAAAGTAGTTGCCCTTCCTATGTATGGCTAATCTATAATTTTCATCAAATTGCAGATGATGAGACTAAGTTTTTGAAAATCTTATAACATTTTCACTGTCTCATTGAAGAAGCCAACATCAATATTGGCTATTCACTAGCAGTAATATAATCTGGCAATTTTATCTTTTTATCTGGAGGTAAGAGGGGGAAAATCCATTTGTAAAAGAATGTAAATATATTCTTAGAAACATGTATAATACTGTACCTATAACAAAGGTAGTTAATGTTTTTTATTTTTTTTAAATAATCTTTATTCATCTTTTTTATTTTAAAATCACATTTCCATTTTTACAGCGTTCAGTTATCAGTATCAATTCTAATTACATATTTTTCATTTACGCCTTCCTACCTTTAAAAAACCTGCACTTGAATAGTTAGTTATCTTGGTGTTGAAGCTAAATACTTTGTAGAGTTCTAATTGTTTGGATGACTACATCTAAGATATAGGAACTCTGGTATTCTAAGAAAGATAGAGAAATACTCAGTTTTTTATGACAGATAGAAGGTCCATATTCATAGGATTGCATTATCATCAACCAGGCTCCTTATTTCCCAGATTTTTCAGGGTCTATGAAAATCAGTATGAATGCTTGTGTTCTCATAGGATTAACAGTATATGCTTTTTTTTTTCGAGAGGCAAATGGACTTTCTTGTTTTTCTTTGAAGACATTTCGCTTCTCATCCAAGAAGCTTCTTCAGCTCTGACTGGATGGTGGGGAATGGAAGGATTTATACTCCTTGCAGACAGCTGGTCATTTGCATTCTTTTAGAGTGTCCTTGAGGCCACTTGGAGGTTTGTCGTATCCTCAGGGTCACCTGAGTAGTGCAAATGGGTGTAGAGCCTTCTTGGAACTGTTGAAAGGACTGTGTTGTAGATTGGAGATGATGTTGTATCCCTCCCCCTCTGTTGAGAGAGGGCTGTTCAATTTTGACATCTGCAGAATATTTTCTGCCCTGTGTCCCTTCACCGTTGAACACAGGTGAAGGCTGTTAAGGATGAGTCTGTGTTGTCTGCATCTCAAACTGAAGTGCAAATAGTTCCTGTAGTCTGCAATTTTCCTGGAAATCTGTTCATGCTCCCGCACCATTCGAAGGGTGTTCATCCCAAAGTGCATAGCTAAATGTCTAGGAAGTCCAGTTGTCTCTTGAAAAAAAGCACCTTTGGGACAACCATTACTTGGATGATTGAGAATCTCCATAGACAATTAACAGTACAGTTTTATTTTTATTCCTTAGACCAGCATTTCTCAGCCACAGCAACTTTTAAGATGTGTGGACTTCAACTCCCAGAATTACCCAGGGTTGAGGTTCGTAGGTAAAATTTCTTGAGGTTGAGAAAAGTTGCTTTATAGATACTTGCCTTGCCACATAGTAACCCCAAAGTTTCAAATTATAGCGATGTCACTTTCAAGGAAATTTTAACTGCGATTGTTCTTGTTAGTCTAATGCAGATTGTATTTATTATGAAATACTGTGCACATATAATTAATGAACGCATTTTTATATGCATTTTTAAGGAGCCTTGGTGGCGCAGCAGACTAAAACATGGTTAAGTAATACCAGCTGCCTGCAATTACTGCAAGTTCAAATCTCACCAGGCTCAAGGTTGACTCAGCCTCAGTAGGTAAAATGAGGACCCGGTTTGTGGGAGCAATAAGCTGACTTTGTATAAAACAGAACACCGCTGGGGGAGCGGGGCAAAAGCCCTACTAAGCAGGTATATACAAAAGTATGAAGGCTATTGCTTAACGCATTGTAAGCCGCCCTGAGTCTCCGGAAAAGGGCGGCATATAAATCGAACCAAATAAATAAAATAAATAAATAAATAAATAAATATCAGTTTTCATTGTTGATGACTTTTTGATGAACACCATAGTTAAAACGTTTAGGCACACTATAAAATGCCAATAAGAAAATCATACGTTTATTGTACATCGAGAAAGGAAACGAATAGAACATATGGTTAGGCTTACTATGCCGACTGACGGATCTGTTTGGTTCCGGTGAACCTTTGGAAAGTAACGTGGAAATGCAGCACACAAATAATCACGGATGCGTGGCGGAAGAAGAGTAAATTCAAATGAAAAGGCAATTTAAGCGAAAAGGCAACCACTTCAAGTACTTCAACTACTCTTCCCCCCCCCGCCCCCACCTCCATATATTATTCTGAAACTACTTCTTACCCAGCAGCCTTAAAACTCTTTTCGAAATTCCGGCCATTCGAACACCGAGTAACTAATACGGCCAATCAGGCGCCGGCTTTCTTGGCGGCTCTGATGCGCAGCGCTCCCTCCTCCCTCCTCCCTCGCAGGATCTCACGGAAAGCCGCAGCTCGCGCGAACCCCGCCCAGAGATCTGTGCGATGCCCAGAATGCAATGCGGAGTAGATAAACCGCGGAGGCCCCGCCGGCCATCTTTGTGTCGGCAGTCAGGGGGGGAGTGATCGCGGCGTGCCTGTGAGTGGGAGCGAGCGTGGGTTGGAGGATATGCTTGAACCGCGTGTGTCTAATGTGAGGCTTCGTGAGGTGTGTGTGTGTGTGTGTGTGTGTGGCCCTGTTCGGCAACAATTACATTCCTTTTTACACGTTGATCTTATTTGATCGGGCCGAGATGTCGCCGCTTTCTCGGCCTGAAATGAAAAAGACCCGCTTCTGTGAAGCCCTTGGCGCTGTACAGAGCAGCTTCGGTTTAATGAGCGTGCGGCAGTATTGTCGGAGATGATGAATTGATCAGATAGATGAGGCTGGAGGTTGGAAAGTTCCTCTTCCTAGCCAATGCGTATCGAAGCGATTCTGATCCGGCTTCAGCCGAGGAACTTCTTTTGTTCTGGTGGGCCTTTTATTCTTCGGGCTAGAAGCACCGACGTCCAGCAAAGTCAGGATTCGATTTTCCTTAAATCAGCAGCCCTGTGCTGGCGGTTGAGTGTGTTTTCTTTAAAATTTAACAAAAGTTAATGCGCCCAAGAGGCTGGCGATGCTCTAAAGATCGATCTGAGTACGGTATGCGCCTTTGAAAAAAACGATAAAATGGATTTTATCAAAGCACACGGGCGCATGGTGGGTAAGGTGCTGCCTCTTACAGCTCCAAACTAGCTTCCTCTTCAGGAACTAATGTGTGCATACAAGTTTGAGAAGTCGCTTTAAAAAAAATGCTATTTCTAGTATCCAAATTAAAATTCCAACATTAAACAGAATGAGAAACTCCCAGCTATCATGGTCAATAGTGAGGAATCAAGGGAGTTTAAAAAGTTCCAGCAATACCTCTGAAATATCAAAATGTGACCTCACTTGAAACTTTTGTTAAGTTACTGAAATGGGACAAACCCTATCACTAATAACATTAGTGATATTTCTTATTTTTATTCGTTGGGACAAGAAGCCATTTGTAAATGAGATTAGACCAAGATGAAGACTTGGTATGCATTCCTGGAAAATAAGAATTATGTGTGTATGGAATGCATTTTTGGACATGATAGCGGTTAAAAGACTGAGCTTGTTTAGCCAGCAGCCTGGGTTCAAAACTTGAATGCTGCATGACAAGGTGATCCCATTACTTGCCCCAGATCCTGCTTACTTAGCATGCAAGTACATAAATAGGTACCACTTCAGTGGGAAGGTAACAACAGCGTTCTGTGTACCTCAGTGTATAGTCATGCTAGCCACATGGCCACAGAAGCATCTTCGAACAACACAGGCTCCCTCAGCTAAGAAATAGAGATGAACACCATCCCCTAGAATTGATCATGACTGGACAGAAAAATGGAAAACCTATATTCTGGCTTGTTAAAAAATTTCAAATTTAAAGTGTGGGATCTGGCAATATACTTTTAAAATGTAGCACAATGTATTATCTAGCTTATTGAACTTAAAAATATTTTTTTTAATGTTATTTAAGGTGCATGAGATACTCATATATTTTGCTAAAATTATGCTAGAAATAAATATTTGGGTTCAATGTTTTGGGGGATGTAGTCTTTCCATAATAGTAAATGCAGGGGAATGTACAGCAAAATTTTGTTTGCTGTGATGGAGAGAAGAAGAAGATTATAAGTAAATTCAAAGCCCCCTGGAAAGTCCGTTTTCTATGTTGGAAGGCTTAAACTAGCAGGAGAAATAATATACACAGAAGTCTTGGCCTTGTGCTTTTTTGAGAATATAAGGAGATAGTGTTCAGGGAGTAACCAGTTTGAATCCAACTTTTACATGAATGTAGTATCGTGTTTTCCCCAAAATAAGACAGGGTCTTATTTTCTTTTGATCCCCCCCAAATAAGGGCTTGGCCTTATTATTGGGGGGTCTTATTATTTTGGGGATGCAGGAGGCGTCGAGCATGGGAATGGATGTCCTGTCGCTGCTGTTGCCTCCCCTCCTTGTTCTTCGTGCCAGTCGAGCAGCTCAACACGTCAGACCCCACCCCAATGGCAACAGCTGCTTCCCTTCCTCGCCGTCTCTTTATCAAGAGGGGTGGCAGGTGGGGCAGGGAGAAAGCGAGACACCTAGAGCGAGACGTGGCTCCCCTTGCCATCTCTTCTCCCCCCCCCCCTCAGTTCAATCAAACTTCTCGAACTCACGAGAAGGCTTTCTTTTACAGCGTGTTTCCCTGGACACAATGGCGAGGAAAGTGATGGAGCTTGAAAGGTAAAACGCATGTCCCGCTTCTCATCCGCCCTACCTGCCACCCCCAAATTACATCCCTAAAGGGGGTGGGTGGCTAAATGAGGGGCAGGAGCCCTGTCATGCCCGGCGGAGGGGGGAAGAAGAGACAGCCAGGGGAGCCACGTCTCGCTCCATGCGTCTCGCTTCTCTCCACCCTACCTGCCACCCCTCTTTAGAGACAGCGGGGAAGGGAAGCAGCCAGGCTGCTGTTGCCATTGGGATGGGGATGGGACGTGTTGGGCCGCGAGACTTGTTTCTTACCTTTCAAGTTCCGTCGCTTTCCTTGATGTTGTGTGTTGCATTCATCCTGGCAGGCTCCGCATGAGAGGTTCAGATGAGAGATAACACAAGGACAGGTATTTCTCGTGATGAGAGAGCCTCGAGCTGACTCCAGACCCCTCTTTTATTAAGCAAGGGTATTGGGCGTATCAGAAGGCATGATTACAGCTATACATTCTCATATTACCTCCGTGATACAAAGGATTTTCTCCATATCTGGACATAACTTTCACATCCTACCATATTACAGTAAATCACGTGAATTCTAGGAAAGCGTTACCTAATGTAAAAACAAAACTTAACTTTGCCATGTTATCATATTTGGCTTTGTTCCCAGCATCCCATCACCTGCCAACAGAGAGGCCCCGTTACCAGAGATCTACCTCAGTTGTCAGGAATGTTCTACAAGGAGATGTCTCTGCTATGCAGGCACAGCCTATGTTATGAACAAAGAGAGAACGAATAGGGCCCTTCAGAGAGTATCCAATTGAACCCGCTTTTCATAGATTATTTCGGTGCTAAAGTCCATACACGTGTCCAACCAGCTAAACTGGTCTATACATGTACTATGGCCACCGCATTCCCACAGTTGTATCCAGGGAAACACGCTGTAAAAGAAAACCGTATCACGAGTTCGAGAAGTTTGATTGAACTCGCGAGAAGGCTTTCTTTTACACCGTGTTTCCCTGGACACAATGGCGAGGAAAGCGATGGAGCTTGAAAGGTAAGACCTGCATCCCGCTTCTCGCCCGCCCCACCTGCCACCCCCAAATTGCATCCCTAAAGGGAGCAGGTGGCTAAGCAAGGGGCAGGAGCCCTGCCATGCCCGGCGAGGAGGGGGAAAAGAGACGGCAAGGGGAGCCACGTCTTGCTCCACGCGACTTGCCTCTCCCCTGCCCCATCTGCCACCTCTCGATAAAGAGATGGTGGGGAAGGGAAGCAGCCAGGCTGCTGTTGCCATTGGGGTGGGGTGGGATGTGTTGGGCCGCTCAGCTGGCACGAAGAACAGAGGGGAGGGCATGTCCCCCCGTTCCACCCTCATCTCATTTTGGTTGCGCGGCAAGCAACCAGAGGAAATAGTGGCACCGGCTGCGCATGAATGTAAGAAGTGGGGGGGGGGCTTATTTTGCAGGGGTGGTTTATCGCATGCACTGAAAAGCTTGATTGGGCTTATTATCCAGACATGTCTTATTTTCAGGGAAACATGGTAAAAAAAATCTTATTGTAAACTTTATCATTTAGCACAAGGGTTTCCAACCTTTTCTATACCCCGCACCCCTAGAATACTTCCAATATATTCACACACCCCTTATAAAAGTAAATAATTATATGCATATAATTATGCATATACACTATAATTTTGAAACTTCTAAACTCAAGTTTTCTCACTCCCTGGAATATCCCACACCCCATTGGGAACTCCTAATCTATAAGGACAAGCAAGCTAATTTTAGATAGTGCTTAATTGTAGATTTTTGCAGTTGGTTGGAAAAAATGACTAAAATACGTTTAGCAATATACATTCTTTCTGTCTTGACTGAAATTCTCCCCAAGCAATTTAGAGTGGAAATTTCACATTTGTTTATCTGAAATTTAATTTAAAAAAAATTAAAAACATAATATATTAGGGTTTTTTTACTCTGCTAGTCATAGGAAACTTTAGAGGCAGTGCCTATCTTCATTTCTGTGAGCCATTAAGCAAGCACTGTGATATGTTAAAACGAGAAGAAATTGACTTCAGATGAATTTTCAATTCAAATCAGCCAGAACTGGCTTGGGAAGTGATTATGTTCCAGATAAGATACAAGATACAAATATATAATAAAACCTTTAATGCTAATTACTGTAACTGAGATGATATAATGCTTAGAATGTTTATTCATGAAATTGCATGATTTAATATTCATATACAAGAAAGAATATAGTTGGTTTGAAACCAAAATGTGAAACAATTATCTGGAATCTACCCAAAAAATCTTTTTGTAGAAAAACAGAAAAATTGCAGCACAGAAACCAGAAGGCAATAATGTGAAAGAAGATAGATGAAAAGATGAATTAAAATGCATATTGAGAGTGGCAAAAAAAAGATCAGCAGAAGAGGATGAGTTGATTCTAAGTGAGTGTTACTGCAGCATGGATTAGTTTAAAAAACTGCAATAGGAGGGAGTTAATACTAAATAATGAAAAAAATGGACAAAAGATAAAATCTTTAAAAATATGGCTTTATATGTGAAGATAAAGGATCAAAAATTAAGTCAATGCAGGAGACAGGAACTGAATAAGTCTGAAAGGTATAGAAACTTGTCTTTTGGGGGTTTCTTATCCTTTTTTTTAGAGCCAAATTCTCACAACCCATACTTAGCATAGTTAATAATCTAACATGTTTCAAAAGTACCAGGCTTAAAACTCCAAGGGAAAATATCAGTTCAATAATGGGCTGGATTTGAGATTCGGTTGTATTGGCAAACTTTGGCTTCAGCTTGCTTTTGTTAAACTTGTCTGCACCCAGCCATGGCGTTTATAAATGACATCAGGTGCTTAGTCCCCTTGATCCGTGGCAGTTTTTGTACTTGCAGAACTTTTTAAAAAGGTTATAGAATTGTGTATTTTGGCATTCAGCCTTTGTTCCTGGTTGGCATTCTTTTTGCTCTTGATATAATAGTTTTAATCTTCAGAAGTTGGATCACTCTGTTCTTCTGGGGACTTGTGTTCTGAAGTACTCTATAAGTGTATTAGGAATAATTTAGGAATGAAGTTATATTTGCATTTTGTGTTTGAAAAACATTTTTTTTTAAATTTAATCAATGTTCATATTTTGCTTTGGAGATGTTAACTAAGATACTTTTAGCTAAGATTGTGTAAATTAATACTGTTTATGGTTATGAAGAAGTAGTAGCTTCTTTGGAGGTGAGCCCGAAGTAGATTAGATTCTATTAGTTGAGTCCTCCTAACCAAATATCTGAATTTATTAGGGCTGATATGTTTGGGGCTCAGTCCATTGGCAAAAACAAGCTGTTTTTTTCAAATACAGCACAGTTGAGCTTTTACTAAAATTCAGTGAAGCTGGCTGGTTTAATGGATGATCTGAAAACTAAGCATACAGTGAGCAAAGAGTTAGCATATGGGAAGCAATTACAGGCCGAAGGGAATAAAGCTGCAACATGACCCTGCAAAAATCATTAATGATAGAAGATCCCACCATTCTCTTTACGGGAATATCCACTGTTTGTGGCAGCAGTATGTGGAGATTCTGCAAACAAAGACAAATCATTTTGTCAGCTGTCATTCACTGTTCTGAGAATTGACACTCCCCCTCCCCAACACCCACCCACACACACACACACACACAAATGTAAATAACTGGTATCTTGCAATGGAATAAAGCTACAGAACTCTCTTGACTTTTTAATGATTCTATCTTTAAAATACTGTAAGTTATATAGCCGGGAACATTTTTTAAAGAACTACCAATTTTTATTGTATTTTAGTTTCTACTTCACTATTGGAATTTAAATATTTATAATATAAAGTTTACAACAGTTATTGTCTACCGTATTTTCCGGCGTATAAGACGACTTTTTAACACATGAAAATCTTCTCAAAAGTCGGGGGTCGTCTTATACGCCGGGTGTAGTTCTCCTGTAACCAGGCAGACCAGCCCGAAAGGCTCTGACGAGCCTTAAATGGCTCTGGCGATCCCAGCTCTGGCGATCCCAGCTCTGACAATCCCAGCTGAGTTCCCTGCAACTCAGCTGGGATCGCCAGAAACCACGTGAAAGGAAAAAAGTTTTTTCCCTTTTACTCTGTGGATCCCAGCTCTGAAGATCCCAGCTGAGTTCCCTGCAACTCAGCTGGGATCGCCAGAAACCACGTAAAAGGGAAAAAGTTTTTTACCTTTTACTCTGAGGATCCCAGCTCTGAGGATCCCAGCTGAGTTCCCTGCAACTCAGCTGGGATCGCCAGAGCCATGTAAAAGGGAAAAAGTTTTCCCCCTCCAGCTTGCTTACCTCAGCTGCTAGTCGCAACGCTTGCCTTGCTTTGCTTGCCTGAATCTATTCAGGCAAGCAAGCAACTCCCTGCCTGCAATCAAGCAAGGAGTTAGTTGTGGACTTCAACTCCCAGAATTCCTCAGCCAGCAAAGCAAAGCTGGCTGAGGAATTCTGGGAGTTGAAGTCTACAAGTCTTAAAGTTGCCAAAGTTGGAGAGCCCTATTCTATTGGGTAAGTTTTTTTCCTCTTTGGGAGCTTTAAAAAAAATAGTCAATTGGGGTTTTTTTAGTTGTTCTTTTTTAGACCTAGCCATTTAAAGTTTAGGAAGTTTTAAATTTAGCTTTCATATAAAAATAAAAATAAAATAAAATAAAATAATATTTGTGCAGCTTTCTGAGATTTTGTGTGTTTCTGTAGTGTTTCACTCCAACTACACAAACACACAAAATCTCACAAAGCTGTATGTGGAATTTTGTGTGTGTAAAGTGTGAAAGTTGGGTTTTTGGACTTTTTGTGGCTGTGTGAGGTTCCTGCTTGTTGCAGGGGCCATTTTGGGTCTAGCACAGCTGCTTTTACATTGTGGGTGAGCCAGTTGTGTTGTGTTGTGTGTGTTTAGAGTGTGAAAGTTTTTTGGGGGGGGCTTTTTGTGGCTGTGTGAGGTTCCTGCTTGTTACAGGGGCCATTTTGGGTCTAGCACAGCTGCTTTTACATTGTAGGTGAGCCAGTTGATGTTTTTTAATTTTTATTTGGTGTGCATTGGAAGAGGGGCAGTCTTATATGGCGAGTATAGCCCAAACCCTATATTTTAACAGGAAAAGTTGGGGGTCGTCTTATACGCCCAGTCGTCTTATACGCTGGAAAATACGGTACTTTGAATGAAGAAGCTTTTAACACAGACCTGTGATTAAGGATATAATATATTGTCTTAAAAGAAAGCTGGATAAAACTATCTAAACTAACTTGAAGGGAAGGTAGAAAATCGATCTACTGAAAAGGTTTCTGTTCTTATCCTTAGCTCCTCTTCAACCAAAAGAGGCATTTAATGGTCATGCTTACCAATGGCTCCCTCAATGTGGTGGATAGATTCTTTTACAGGATTAACCCAGTGTCTCACAGTAATACCCTTGGAGGTAGGATGCTGAACTGAAGTGTATTTCTTCACAGGCTCTAAACCCTTCAGTGTTCTGCCGTGCTCAAAAACAAAGGACATGCATTAGCAAGAAAGTGTTGCCTTTTGGGCAGAGATAATTGTTGAATGATAAACATTAAGGTGAATTAACATATTTTGTTAATTAACATATTTTGTTAAGTAAAAGTCATAGGATAGGGCTATTTAGCTAAGGAAATTGTAGCGCGCTTTTCAAATGTCTGAGAACACTTAGAATTCTAACAGGAATTATTGATCATAGAGTTAAAAAGGGCCATTTAGGCTATGGAGTCTAATCATCTGCTCAGTATGGAAAATAAATTAAACTATCCCTGGTATTGTCGAGTATATGTCTATATACAGTAGTCAAGAGACTGCATTCTAGAGCTTGGAAACATCTGTTATGTTTTCACACATGCATTTGTCTTTGTTCCAAATTGAAAATATTGAATATGCATTTTACATGCCTGATACCAGTTGAAATTTACTCTGAAGAAAAGGAAATGTGGCTTATGTGGACATCATGTGTTTAATGTAAAAATATAATAAATATGATTGGTAGGATTATGACTATGGGCTTATTGATTACACAATGTATATCCTACTGTTGGTTTCATGGCTACAAGAATTGCAGCACTATTAAGAGTATGCATCCACTGGAGTCTGATGCTCATTTTTTAAATTTAGAAGAATAAAAATTTATGTTTACCCATGGTCATCCAGGAGGGTCTCTTTATGGAGGACTACTTGACTTTTGTTTTTAAGCAGGTCTTCATGGTGATTGTATAGAGAACTGAGGTTAAAATCCAAACTGTCTTTAGAAATCTGCAAATGAGATTGGTAAATGGGGAGCATGTTAATTTACAAGCATAAATTAGGAATAGCATAGTAGAAATGTTTTAAAAGTGAAATAGTTTATGCAAGCTTTTCAAGAATTGCCTGTGTAACAGCAAAACTGAGAAAGCAAAAATTAAGATATGTATTAGGGTAAGAACCTAGTAATAAATGTTCTCAGAATTAAGGTTGTGTAAAGTGGCACTATTTTATATATCTATCCAGATTAGTAGAATGTATCTATACCACAACATAGAAAAGCAAGATGCCCTATCCAGACAGCTGTAATTTATATATCAATATAAGTTGCTTCATTCTACTGTGATTTCTTTTATAGTGAAATTAATGGAAATAATAGAATTAAAAGTATATCAATAATAATGGATTTTTAAAAAATTATATAGTAGTAATAGCTATCTACCTTGGTCATATAGATCTAGATCATATAGAAGCATACTAAAATAGTATAAATACATTTCAGAAATCAAAACATCTCTAGAATTCACTCTTGACACATGGAGTGTTGTTTTTCCCTGTATCGGCTGATTCTCTTAACTGATCCCCATGTTTGTGCCAATTAGTAAAATGTGAGCAAACCCTACTCCCTACTAACACTGATGATGTTGTCTAGTTTGGTAATGAAACATCTTCAAGAAAACAACCAATCTCAGAAAGTAAATAACTCTTCAGAAGAGTTCTTAATACAATGTAAAATTCTGTAATTTTGGAATGCATTTATATATATATATATATATATATATATATATATATATATATACACATATACATATATATATATATATAGTAACTATATTCTCTAAAATGAAACTATGATAGAATACAACCAAATTATATAAAAGAACCCAGAAATATCTTACAATTTCATTATGAGAAACGCCATGACAAAAAATGTTTAAGAATGAAAGTTTATTTGGAAAGTTCAGTAAACATGAACCAAGAATTTCTAATCAAGTAATTTCATCCATATGTCACAAGTGTATTTAGCATTTTTAAAAATTTGGGCCCATTGATTTTCCAAGAATTCCTTATTCCACAAATAACATATTACTGTCCTAACTTTAATTTGTATAGAATTGAATTGTTAGGTTGTATTTCAAATTCAAACAGCTGCTATTGAACATTCTTGAACATTAAAGAATTTCTGTTTCTCTGAAGCTGCTAAACACATCTAGGCCATGTTCTAATCATACATATTTAAACTGAATATACTGACAAGTAATTATATTCAAAATGTAACTGCAAATCCTTAAAGTAGTACTATTAATAATTAACCTATTTAAGGCATTGATTCCTTACTCAGCTTAGAATTTCTAATGAAACATTTCGCCCATTTTCATATTAAGATTACTCCATATCATCTGTTTCTCATGTAAATCGAGTTCAATTTTTTTACAGCTTCCCTGTTAATGCATCTAGAAGCTTTCAAAGCTAGAAAGGTGTACATCTGTTTGATAAAAATTGACCCAAGGACTTGCCAAAATTTCCAAAGACTCACTCTTTAAATAAATCCCAAGCAGATAGTAAATTTTTATTCCAAACAAACATTTTATCAAAATGAAGTGTCCTTTGAAGTTCCCAAGGTCTGTCTAATACACATAACATTTCTAAGGCATTTTAAAGAAGGAATAGTAAGGGGCTAAATAATAAAGAAAAGAGAAGACACCTTGAAAAACAACAAAGACAGCAATATCATTTCTTTTTTACCTCGGGTTCTGAGTACCAGACTTCTCTCCTAATGCTTGCCAAAGTTGCTGTTCCATGTAGCCGATTCCAGGTGTCTTGTTGCTGAGAAAGATGGGAGGGCATGCCATAGGAGGTTTTCTGGATCAATAAGAATGATACTAAACTTATACTGACTCCATAAAAAGATAAAACTTAACTGAACTGCTTACTATTTATAATAACTTCCAATATTGTCTATTGAAGTTGGGATCCAAAGACCCCAGGACATTAGAATCATCAAATACATGCCAGTTGCCAAATATCTAAATTTTCATTACATGGCCATGGGGACACGGCAACAGTCATAAATCAGGTTTTTTTAGTGCTGTTGTAACTTTGGTCACTAAATGAATGGTTGTAAGTTGAGACTACCTATACACAGGTTTTTCTAATCAGTAAAAAAGTCAACATAGCAACAAATTTCAGCAGATGGATAATATCAAACCATTCTTGCTTTAAAAGGAAATCTAAAATGTTATATAGAACTGCCCTTGTGTTTTTAAGATTGCATGTTACAAAGGATTCTTAACGTATTTTAGGCAGTCTTCTTCAACCTGTTGCCTTCCAGAGAAGCTGGAATAAAATGCAAAAACATCTTGCGAAACTATTAGCATAGAAGTCTGAGTCTTGCAGTCTTAACACCTCTGAAGGGCATCACGTTGGGGAAGACTGAAGTTAATTTACCTACTTGGTAACATCCCAAAACTGATTGCTTGACTTGGAGAAAACTGATTGGTTGGCTTGACTCAGATTTGACCAATTAAATCTTTGGTACACATTCTGACAGAGGTTCTATTGTTATGTTTTACAGTAGTTCAGTGTTTTCTTGTCTTTCCATTTTTCCTAATCCCCTTGTTTAAAGAAGTTCTCATTACCTCAGTGAAATATAAACATACTTATAATAATTGCTTTGTGCTCTTTTCATGTTTTGTATTTTTATAAAGAACATTATAGCAAGTGAAGTCACGTAATTTTGACAATTTGGATCTCTTTTATCCTTTGCCTCCGAGTCTATTTTTCTTGTTCATTTTGATTTAATAGTCTGGGTGGAACGCCTATTTCTCTATATATAATTAATGAGTCATTAAGGGGCAGTAATTGTCTGAAAAGCAAGAAAAATAGGATATATCTTCCAGATGTGCATTTTGCACATACTAGATATATTTAGGGCTATTTTTAAAGCCAGACCTCCACATTTTATCCTGTATTAATAAACATCATAAAAGGTGTATCTCAAGTTCAAAAGTAGTTTCCAGCATCATCTGTAAAACATTAAGAAGCTAAAGGGAGGCTGCCCTATCATTGAGTTCACAGCATCTGGCTTCTAAATTTCATTAGGATAAACTAACTGCATCACAATGCAAATGCTTTATATATTTTAAAGAAAAAAAAATAAAGGGATCTCTCTTACCTGTGCATTCCCATTACCACTGTATGTATTTTCATTTTCGTAATGAGGGAATGAAAAAGAGTTCCTAGCGGGTGACATACTCCAGCCTTTCTCAGCAGTAGGGTTGCCAGCTGTCAATTGCGGATGCCGATTTCTCTCCCCGCGTGTCAAGTTTTGTTTAGGATATGATGGCGGTTGCTAGGCGACGGGGTCTTTTAGAGTCTTCCGGTCACTACGTATCAAAGCGCCCTCTAATGGCTGGAAAGAAAAGCGGAGCTCTTGGGAGGCGGAAAGAAACCACAAAAACGGCGCGGGGCAGGAAAGGACAGAATCCAGCACGCGCTTTATGCTCCAAATGAAATAAAGAAAAATCCGCCTTTATAAGGATACTTATAAAGTCCAACCCCCCTTTCCTTCATGTTTACGGCCCATCAGGTTTAAGCGTATTGAATAGCTCTGAAAGACTTTTTTTAACAATTCTCTCCTCTCCTACACCCCCCAGCGGGATTACTCCGAAGAGTTAGTCCCAAGTGAACCGAAACATTAAGGCAGCGCCAGGCAAACACCAAAATGAGAAGCGAGGCACCCCGTTTAATAGTCTCAGAGCCCGAGAATAACTTGGGGTAAAAGGAGCGCGCTCCCAGGAACCGGCAAAGCGAGGGGCGAAGAGAGCCGGGTTGCTGGCCGCTCCTGAGTCGAGAACGGCTGCCCCCAAAGCGCCACCCGCTACCCGGCTCAGGATTGGATCGTTAGTGCAGCGCGCGTGGCTTGAGCGACTCCGGCGAGGCCTTGCTGGGGGCCGCTGAAGGAGCGCTTCGAAAGCAAACGGCTTTTCCTTCGTCGCGCGCCTCTCGAGCCTCAGGTGCTCCTCGGCCTCGGGAGGGCCGCGCGGCGGAGGCAGCTGCCGTTGCTAGGCAGCGAGGTGTGGGCGGTCCGAGGGGGCGGGGCGGGCTCCTGCATCCCTTTCTGCCCCAGAGCGCGGCTACCGTCGCACCTGAGTCGGTGACTGCCTGCCCGAGGCGCCGCGCGACTACCGGCTCTTCGCTGTTTCTGCTGCGCCACGATGGCTGGGGCTGGCAGGCTCCATCCCGCTGAGGGGATAACCAGATGCTGCTGCTGCTGCTGCTGCGTCCACCCTGTTGGGATCGGCTGGAGGCGCCTGCCGCTCCTTCTGCTCTGCCTGCTGTTGCTGCTTGGGGCGGGCGCCGCTACCCAGGGGGAGAATCTCCACGCCTGCAAAGAGGTACCCGCGGAGGGACAGGGTGACATCTTACTCTCTCTGCGTGGGGAGCGGGGAAGCGCGTGCGGGGGGCGCATCTGTGATCAGGTCGCAAGAGTGGAATCGGGAGATCCCACCTACCTGAAAACCATTGGCGAAATATCCTTGTGTACGTCCTGCGCCCCCCCTCCCAAAAAAAAACAAAAAAAACCACTCTCCCATCAAAGTAGAGGAAAAGCCACTGTAGCTGCGCCCCGTTTCTTTCACTTAGGTCTGAATGAGGAAAAGCAAAAGCTTTGGCAGATTTTGATTGAGATGGGCATTGGGCAAACATTAGAAACATCTGGCTCCCCTCCCCAAATATTTTGGACAACTAACACCATTTAGGATCAATTTCTATTTAATGGGCTAACTGTGTGTGTGTTAAGTGTGGAAGTAAACTAACTTCATACCATTGCCTCCCTTAAAGGTGGAAACTTCAGAATGAGCAAAATTTTGGACAACAATGAATCAGCAATGGGGCTGAGTTTCCTTAAATCATTGCCCTCTGAATTTTGTACATGCTGCCTGTGAGACCTCTTTGTAATCCCCATAGAAATGGACAGGCATTGATGCTCTCTAAAGACCCACCCATTCTACCTCAAATGTAGCCATTTATTGCATATTTATGGGCTTTTGCTTAAAGATGTGTTAGCCTTTAAGATGTAGCTGTGTTCCCTGTCATTTAACAGTCTCGTTGGCCTAAGCAAATGTTCTAAAAGCAACAGCGATACCTGCCTTGGCTTAAAGCAAAGGAAATTGCTAGAATACAACTTGCAAAGCAGAAGAGAAAGTCTGCCTTTCAACTGCTGCTTAACTTTCTAGCGCATGAATATTTGTTTGGCTGGATCCCACACCCACTACGTGCTAGCTGCAATTTACCTTGGGAAATTGACCAAATGTTTGCCTATTTTTTCCTTTCAGGTTACGTGGCAGGTTGTCATTGAGTCAGACAGTACTAACTTCCTTGTAGGTTAATATAGCAATACCTTAATGTCTTCTGAGCTTGTTTTTGTTTCTTTTTGAAGGATATGAAGTATGGGAATGAAACTAAATACAGTGAAATAAAATGGGGTAAAATAATTATAGTAAAAGAGCAGCCAGGCGCATGAGAGTTAATACCCTTGTATTTGCTTTTGTTATACAGACTGTTGTGTATGTAGATTTTGGGCAGGCAGTTTGAATTAACTGACCATCAGCTGATTGGCTGACCACCACAGCTGCAAGGTATATAAAGGGAGCTGTTTCCCCTAGTCAGTTGCTGGGTTCTCACCCTACAACTTAACATTGGCGATGAAGGTGGGATTTTGAGGCCAGAAGCCACGGAAAGAGCTGAAGCCACGAGCCGATGAGAGAGCTGCAAACCCGAATCCAGCCAGGCGAGCGAGCAGAGTACTTGGAGAATCTACCAACGATGTCTACCTACGTACCGCCAGCGCCTTTCAACCCTGCGGAAGAGAAGTGGGGATACTACATGTCCCGCTTCGAATGCTTCCTGATGGCCAGCGACCTACAGGGGCTACCCGACGTACGGAAGAAGGCACTGTTCCTGAGCCATTGTGGACCCAAGGTGTTCGATATGGCCGAGGCCCTGTCGGAACCGAACTCGGTCCACACCATCTCATGGCAAACGCTTCAGACGCTGCTGAAGGACCACTATGCCCCAATGCCATCGAAGTACGTGCAGCGTTTCGACTTCTGGCAACGGCTGCAACACGAGGGAGAATCGATCAGCGAGTACGTCGCTGCCCTGCGCAAGGCTGCAAACCAGTGTGAGTACCGAGACCACGATGAGATGCTGCTAGAGCAACTAATCTGCGGAGTGAGAGATATTCGCTTGCAGAGAAGGTTGCTCACAAAGACAAATCTCACGCTACACATCGCACTGGATGAGGCGAGGGCTCATGAATCTTCCTCCAAGGCAGCCGAGAGACTACAAGGGTCGGCGCAGAGCAGAACAGCACAGAAGTCGGCCCCGGTTCACCAGGAAACCGTAGGCACGGGGAGCAAGGAAGAGTTGGACGAGGAGATCTGCCGGACCGAACAGGACCAGCAGGACCGGCGAGGCCATCGAGATGCCTGTGCCAGTTGTGGGGGATCCTATCCGCACCAGACCTGCAAGTTCCAGGACGCAATTTGCCGGCAATGCAAGCGGAAGGGGCACATCGCTAGAGCCTGCAGAGCCAAGCAGAACCCCCAGTACAAGCCGCAGAGCAACGCTAGCCAATCAGAGACGGTGCAGCGGACAAGAACCAATCCAAAGGGCGGCTACAGGAAGAGCGCAAAATCCAAGGATCTCGAGGCCTGCATCATTCGAATTGGCCAGACCTGCACATCCCCCGGGGAGAAGACCTACACGACGGTCGACATCGAGGGGCATGAGTGCATAATGGAGATAGACACCGGATCCCCAATTACCATCATGTCCTGGGACAAACTGAAGAAGGCCGTTCCCATAATCCAGAGACGGCAACTACGGCACCAGCGGCTGGGACTGCGCGATTACCAGGGGAACCGCATCCCCATGGAAGGAATTGGTGAGTTCCAGGTGGAGTACGGGGAATTCCGGGAGAAGCTTCCCCTCACTGTGGTCAGCGGAAAGCTCCCAAGCCTCCTGGGCATGGACTGGTTCAGAGCCCTGGGCATGGAATTCACTGGAGTCCGCAACGTGTGAAGCACCCTGAAGGATGACCTGATGCAGGAGTTCCAGGATGTGTTCGACGAGCGGCTCGGCAAGTATGTGGGGACCCCTATTTCATTCAACCTCTACCCCAATATTGCCCCCATCCAGCTGAAACCCAGGAGGGTCCCTTTCACCCTAAAGCCCAAGATCGATGTGGAACTGGACAAATTAATCAAGCAGGGGGTGTTAGTGCCAATCGATCATGCCCGATGGGAGACCCCAATTGTGACCCCCATTAAGCCGGACGGGTCTGTGCACATCTGTGCAGACTATAAGTGTACGATCAATAAGGCCCTGAAACAGAGCGCTTACCCAGTTCCGATCGTACACCATCTGCTGCATTCCCTAGGGCCAGGCAAGATTTTTGCTAAACTCGATCTTGCGCAGGCGTATCAGCAGTTGCACTGATGGCGCTACCGCAGAGGCACAGACTATAGTAACACATAGAGGTGCCTTCAATTCGGAGTCAGCATAGCCCCAGGACTGTTCCAGAGCACCATGGAACGACTGTTACAGAGGATACCCAGGGTGGTCCCGTATTTTGATGACGTGCTCATCACCGCAGAAGACGAACAGCAACTAGGGGAGAGACTGAGACACATACTAGAGAAATTCAGAAGTGTAGGACTCAGGGTCAAACACAGCAAGTGCATGATCGCAGTCCCTTCTGTGGAGTTCTTGGAGTATCGGGTAGACGGGACTGGCATACACCCTACCGAGAGCAAGATTAAGGTGATCCAAGAGGCCCCATCCCCAAAGACAAGGCAGAACTACAAGCGTTCCTGGGACTATTGAACTTTTACACAATTTTTCTAAGGGACAAGGCAACAGTAGCGGAGCCCCTGCACAGACTGTTGGCCAAAATGTCCAAATGGGTTTGGGGGAAGGCTGAGGCTACTGCGTTTGCTGCCATAAAGAAACTCCTGTTGGCCGAGAGTTTTCTAATTCAGTACAACTCTACGCTTCCCCTAGTGCTAGTCTGTGACACGTCCCCCTTCGGCGTGGGGGCCGTCCTGAGCCATAGACTATCGAACGGTCTAGAGGTGCCCATCGCCTACTACTCCCAGACTCTTTCGAGCGCCGAACAGAATTACAGTCAACTTGACAAGGAGGCCCTGGCAGCGGTCTCAGAAGTCAAGAAGTTCCACGAATACCTGTTCAGCAGAGACTTCGAACTCATCACAGACCATTGCCCCCTCCTGGGTCTCATCGCAGGGGACCGACCCACACCGGCAGCCCTGTCTCCCAGGATGACACGCTGGGCCATCTTCCTGGCAGCCGACTCCTATCGCCTGGTACATCGACCAGGGCTGAGCATGGGCAATGCTGACGCCCTCAGCTGTTGCCTGTTACCAGACAGGATAGAGGACCCCACACCCGCAGTTCCAGTCCTGCTGATTGACGTCTTGGACTCAGGGCCCATCACTTCAGCAGAGGTGGCGAGGGCTTCAACCAGAGACTATGTGATTAGGAAAGTCACGAGTTGGGTCATGAGGCGGTGGCTGGAAAAGACTGAGGGCAGGGAATTCAAATATTTCGCTAACAAAAAGGGTGAACTGACTATGCAAGGGGGTTGTCTATTGTGGGGCAATCGGGTCATTGTTCCCTTTTGCCTAAGGGAAAAGGTTTTGAATCTGTTGCATGAGGGGCACCCCGGGATCGTAAGGATGAAGGGGTTAGCTAGGAGTTACGTCTGGTGGCCCCTAATGGATAAAGACATCACTGAGTGGGTAGGGAAGTGCCAGCCCTGCCAGGAGTCTAGACCAGACCCCCCCACAGCACCGGTCAGGGAATGGGAATGGCCCCAGGGTCCCTGGTCCAGGATCCATATAGATTCGCTGGCCCATTCCATGGGCAGGTATTCATGGTCGTCGTGGACACTTTCTCAAAGTGGTTGGAGATCAGACTCATGAAAACCACTACCACTGACACCGTCATTAGAGAGCTAAGGCAATTGTTCGCCACCCATGGCCTACCGGACACCTTAGTCTCAGACAATGGGCCCCAGTTCATGGCCATGCAGTTTGAGGGGTACCTAGCAGAGTTGGGGATCAAGACACATACTATCAGCCCCGTTTCATCCGGCTAGCAATGGATTGGTAGAGAGATTTGTGAGAACAGCTAAGGAACCTATCTCACGCCTAGGCCCAAGGGACTGGCAGGAACGGATAGACAAATTCTTAACGGCCCAACATGCCACACCATGCACCGCCCCATCGCGGAAGATTGGTCAGCCAAAGAAGTTGCCGCCCACAACGAATTCTCGGAGGTTCCATTGGCGGAGCAGGGAGAAACAGGGAGT